TTTCCTTTTTCCTATCTTAACATTTTATCCCTTTTTTAGCTGATACATATAGACGGTTTTAGTTCAATCTCTAGACGGTTTTGGTTTCATCTCTAGACAGTTCGAGTTAAGTTTGAATGCTAAAGATTATTCATGTTTCATCTCTAGATAGTTTTTGGTTCAAAGACAGTAGAACCATCAATCTTGAAGATCGGAGATCATTCACGGTTCATCTCTGGACTATCAAATGAGAAATGTTCTATAGATTGGAGTGAAGAACTACCCTATTTAACCTTTTAACTTACCTTTTGTACCGACAGATAGGTGCCTTCATTTTAATCAGTAAATTGTTTTAAATTTGAATTTGTGCAGACTTATGTGAATTAGAATTTGATAACTACCTTATCTAAAGCATGGTTTAAGTATAATTTGTTAGTGGTTAGTGATTTTCTATATTTGTATCACTAATCTATAGTTAAGTGTATAAGCTTTAAATATAGTGGTGCCCAACTTCTTTTTCAAAGTTATTCAAGTTATTTAAAAACCAAACCCACGCCCTATCAATTGAACTCAAACACATTATCATAATAGATAAAATAACCAGGTATTCACGTTACAAGTATTTATGGCGTATGTGGTTTGGAGGGTGCTAAAGGCAAAACAAATCTTAGCAGTCTTACTCTTGAACGATTTGTTTTTAATCGATTTTTTATCAAAATTATCTCATAATTTATGATTGGTTTTAAGTGGAATGTTTAAATGTAACACTATTTAAAAAAATATTTGTTCTTAAAATTTACGTTTGAAATGGACATTATGTATTTATAATGAATTTTACCTGGTAAAGATTCGTTAAAGCATCAAAATACCTTTACTTAATTTTAAATAATCCTAAATAACATATCTAATACCAAAATAAATAAAAATACTATCACTCACATGATATTTTCATCGCCAACCATAACCATAACAAAAAAAGTTCACTTTTTGTTGAGAGCACGCGCCTGTCACCGTGTAAGCGGGCACACGAGGGAGCTGGCAGGCATGCAGCGGACAAAAAGACAGGTTAGCATTATACAAATGACTAAGTGAAGGCATTATTTTTAAATTTGTTGGAATATACACACCGCACAAAAATTATCGTATCACTAATATTTCTAAATATTTTGACCATGTACTTTTTTTAAAATATTTTTTTTTTTGGTGTAATTTATATTGAACCTTTGCAATTACATAAATCATAAATACAATTTTTCAATTTAAATCAATATGTACAGGGTAAATAAAGAATACCAAAAACGGACATAATAGAATTTATATTACCTTCGTTACAAAAATTAAATTCTTCGAAAAATATAAAATTGTTTGAAAAATGCAATTTTCTTAGTATCTTGTATTGCCTCCTCTTGCCCTTATCACCGCCTCCATTCGCCTTGGTAAGCTTTCAAATAACCTATGTATGTATTCTTGCTCCATGTTGTTCCATATTTCGTTTATTGCATGTTAAAGCTCATTAAGGATTCTGAATGGAGCTTGACGGTGCTGGATCGCCCAACCTAAGTGGTCCCATACGTGTTCTATCGGATTGAGGCCTGGGCTGCGAGCTGGCCAATTCAATGTAGCAATATTTACCTCCTCAAGAATTTCCCGCACTATCCCGGAGCGTGCGGTCTGGCGTTATCATGCATTAGCACAAAATTTTCGCCAATAAAAGGGCCGTATGGAACCACATGAGGTTCTAAAATATCCTTTAGGTATCAGCCAGCTGTCATTTTACCATCATTAACAGCTACTAACTCCGTTCGCCCATTCAATTTTCAATTTATTCAATATTCAATATAGGTTACAATAATTTTTTTTATAATACAGTAATAGAAAAAGATACCTCACAATATTATACCCACGCTAGGCACAGTTGCCTGTCTTGTCCAGTACAATATTATGAGGTATTAAAATGTAATGCCTAATAAATCAGATAGTGTTTACATGAGAATTAGAAGAAAAAAAAAACTTTAATACAACTAAAATAAATAGAGATAATTACAACTAAGGCGGGAGAGAGAATGGATGTTGGCAGACGTTTTCGGTTTCAGAGCAAGGAGATTTATTGTATAGAAGTATGTACGTATATGAAAAGTATATGAAAAGATATTCTTCCCCATACCAATATTGACCCACCTCCAAAACTTTCCCTTTCACGAAAATTGCATTGGTAATGTCGCTCGCCTGATCTTCGGTATACTGGCATACTGTTCTGAAGAGAACAAACAAAATCTGGACTCGTCTGTAAAGAGGATATTGGACCATTCTTCTACACCCCATCCAGCATGGTCTCTAGAAAATTGTAAACGGCAAACTCGATGTTCTCTGGTAAGACGCGGGCCATTGGCTTGAACCCTTGCATGTATATCATGTTGTCGAAGATGATTACGTACAGTTTGTATGCAAATCTGAACCTTTCTGGCAGCTAAAAGGTCATTTTGGAGCATTCGAGCAGTTCAGTGTCGTGTTCTTAGGGCTGAAAGTTGTAAAAAACGATCACGTAGAGCTGTTGTAACTCTAGGACGACCTTGGCCCTCTCTTTTAAAGTACCGTCTAGTCTCCCTATGCCTTTGAACAACTCTTGAAATGGTACTCTGTTGTACACCCAATAAATCCGCCACGTGCCTTTGACTTCGCCCCTCTTCAATCAGCGCAATTACTCTGACGGCCTCATCTATCAAATGGCGAGTTAAACATTGTGGACCAGCCACAGTATACACCTTTATCGTACAACTTAATATCAAAACAGAAAATACAGAAATGAACAGCATAATTGCAAAGTGGAATGTATGCCTATTTGTATTCTCCCGAAAAAAAGTAATCAAGAACCTAACAAAAGAAGAAACGACCAGTTTTTTGACTCGAATTTATCAGTAAAGAATGCCCATTCAGGGATTACTTAAGAAATTTTAAAAATAAATTTACTGTAGCCAAAATTTTTCAAAGCATTGGTGATGCGATAACTTTTGTGCGGTGTGTATAAATTAAAATTGTTGAATTAATACTTTTTTTGTTGACAAGCGAGATGTTATTAAATTATTCAGTATGCTATAAGCCTTGGTTTTCTTGAACACTCTGTCGCGTTGAGCGGACAGTCCGTCGACCGCCGTGTTTTGAAGATTTTATCCAACCAGAGTATTTAAATGGGAATGGTTTTCTTGAATCCGCTTAGCTGAGCAGGACGGCATCATGTCGCTGAATTGTCGCGACTAGTCAGTTCATATCTGTTGAGTTTGATATCAGCGGAATCGTCACCGTGTGCGGAAACAGTTTGTGAATACAAATAATTATATTGTTATTATTTTTAAAACAATGAATGACAAATTCACACAGACAGATGATTTTATGACTTTATTTGTAGGTTTCTTGGAAATGTCGCCCTTTATAAAACTCAACACGAATTCAAAAAGATCTGTAGGAAGTCTAAAATACTTCGTAAATTTGGTTTCATTTTCAAAAAGCCTCCGCTGCACAGTGATATTAAAGGCACCTTCTATATCGCGAAACAAAAACAATTTATCCGCTGGCCTATTTGAGTTTTTGACGGTTGCAATTGCCAGTTCCTCTTATTCTTCCTCTTCCAACAATAATAATAACGCAAACAATTTATTTGCGTTCATTTTAGTACATTTCGTTTACATTCATAATACATAAACAGAACGTACAGACATAGAGAAGGTCTCATTTTATATATTTAACAAACCACCTTGGGCGAAAATCGCTGTCCTCAGCGATCGACGACTGTCCGCTCACCGCGACAAAGTATTCAAAGAAACCAAAGCTTTACATTTTAATACAATTTGGTTATTATAAAACGGACTTCAGAGCACCCAAACGCCGGGTGGTGTGCGCAGTAAACTGGTTGGTATATTGTGCATATGATATAAACCCCCCTGAATAGAACGATATTTTCATAAGTAGTGTAGCTCAGTGCTACATTTTTGATGCAAAAAATAGATTACATCACACGGGCTTTTGTCAACAGTGTCTCTTTTAAGTCCGCGAAGGATTAACCGAACTTCCTGGTGAGTCAGAAAGAAGAGGATGTTTTCATCTTTGTCGTGTTTGCACTCTTTTTTGAAGGAACTAGGAACTAATAAACCTCTTATAATATTGGTACAGGGAGCATGGAGCAACCCACAGGCCCTCGCAGGAGTCAATATCTCTGGGGATGCTAGGACTGCATAAAATATTTGCCTTTAATGGAACGGCGGTTGCGGCATGGGTTATGACAACGGTAAGTTTTTTTTATTATATTTTAAAAGTTAATTGAGAAGTTAATATTTTTATTTTTAATTAATAAATGTTACTCTATTGACTCTATATAACTTTTGCTCTCTTTGTACATATTATATAGAGGGCGTTTATTAATTGAATGACAATACTTAGAGGTGTGAATTTTTTTTAATATCAACATAATTCGTAAACCTCTTATATTTTGAGCTGCAGGGTCTTACACTTTTAATAATAAAATCATAATTTTCTTATCACTTCAGATATTTTAATGAAATTTTGGTATACACCTTTTAGTTCATTGAAACTGCTCATGTTATTTTGTTGAAATTTGGTCTGTACTTTCCTTATCGGTTATAGGAAATAGAAACTGATTTATTAATTCATTAATTATTAAAGCTAATTTAAAATAGAAGCGTGTAAGCACTTTTTTGGGATATACGTTGATTTTAACTTTTATTCTTAAAATCACCCAAGGATTCACACCTTTAAGTCAGTATCGGCACTAAATTAATAAACACTTTGTATATACATCGAAATACTACTATACTATATAATCCTCTAAAAAGCTTTACTTTCAAAATAACAATAGTTACAAAATATATAGCAATTTTGCAGAATTGGATGGTCCAAGTATGTTTAGAATTTGTAGTTGTGGTTACAAATTAAACCTCAATAGTATTTCTTTTACTTTTTATAGAAATAAAAGTCAAAATTTATTTATTTATTTATTTATTTTAATATTAGCATAATACTACAGTTTTACTTCTTAGGTAATACAATATTACAGATATGTAGAATTTCAACATTTTTTTCTACTGTACATAAAATTTCCGGCGTTATGAAGTAGACACGTATTTTGTGGATTAAATACTTTGATCTTCAATAAGTGTGATCATAATTTTCCAAAAACCCGAGAATTAATGAAAGAGAAAAATGCGTGCACCACCGGAAATCGAACCTGGATGTCGGACTTGGACTGGTCTGCGATTTTCTAATTGGACCATCGCAGCACATACACTTTGATTTACGAATTCGTACATTCAATCAAATTCAGACAACATCGTCGGTACACACAATTTCTAATCCCATCCCTAAATTCTCCTCAAAGCCACCCTTCTGACATGGTGTAGAAAGATAGCAATTTATAATTACTTTAGAATTAAATTTCTAAGATTTTTTACTTGTTTAACTGTTGAACGAGTGAAGGATCTTAGAAATTAAGTTCTAATGTAAATTATAAATTGTTGTGTTATAGTTCATAATTTTTCATACCTATCAAATTAAAAAAAATAAGAAACCTCTAAATTTTTATTTTCTTTTTTTCAATGAAATGTGTATACCACTTTTTGAAACTAAAATTATTTCCGGTGCTAATTTTAACTCTTGATGAGGGTTTGATGGTAGCAATTCGAAACTTCTCAAAACCTTAGACAGCGTACTCTTCATCTCCAGCATGGCAAATTTTTGACCTAAAAATAAATCACTATGTGGAAAACAGTTAAATCTAACAAATTATTTGCTGAAAATAGTACTAATATACCACAAAGTCTAAAAAATTCTCAAGAAATAAGGTTCTTCGTAGATTTTATTTCAGAGAGTCGGCCATAATTTTAAATTTTTATAAGAAAAATAAACCTATTAATGTAGGTTATGTATTTAAGGAAGTTAATGATATTTTTATATTTTTTAAAACTATTTGGGATATAAAAATGAGCGGTAAAAGTTGTGATAATATAAGTTCTATTCTAAAATAAAAGAATAAGCCTATTGCCTTCGTTATCGAAGATGCTAGAGCGGAAAGTGGATATTCAAATTAGAAATCTAGATTTTGAACGGAACATAGTACAACTGCTCTTCTCCACATTGTGGATGATGTAATACAATCTATTGATGTTAATCAATGTACTACTTTGGCATTTTTAGTCTTTAGTCGTGCGTTTGATACTCCAAATCTTGATGTATTTTATAATACATAGGCTTCTCTTCTAATGCGCTTTTACTGATGGATAATTATTTAAAATATCGACAGCAGAAAGTGAGTATTAATCATTGCAACTTAGATTTGGAGTTCCACAATGCTCAATTCTTGGTCCTCTGTTTTTTTTTCAATTTATACCTCCCACCTACTTAATTTTTGCGAAGCTCGTTTATTCAAGGATAATACACAGCGGGTCGGCTCGAAGGCTATTTTATTCTTCTCTTTCTTTTTAAGTAATTATTTCTTTGATTAAAGCTTTAATTCTATATTTTATAAAATTTTAATTTTTTATGGATTTTTGTAACTCCGGTAGGTATTAGCATGATTTTTAGATTTGAATAACATGGATTTGCATTTGATTTATTAAAAGACAAAATGGCGGTCGCTGGTTCTGGGATCTAGACGATGCTTTTTTTTGAAAATTTGAGGTCTTCTGAGTGTTTTATAATGTATTCGAGTGCTTTTAAGTGTGTGCGATAGTTTGCCGATAAATGTTAGTTGCGACAATTAATTTTTATTTTGTTTTTAGGATTTTATGATTTTTGGGGCCCCTGGATCGGTTTTTTGGAGCCCTATATTGACGTTCTGTAGCTATTTTTGTGTGTATGTTGATTGCAAATAAATTTGACAGCATTTTTTGTCTTCTTTTCATGACGCGCGTGTAGTTGTCCGCCCTTATCCCCTCCTCCGCACCCTATACGGCGCGAGACCCTTTCTAAAAGAGCTCCCCATGAATTTTTTTCCTTCCCCTCCCACTGTTTTGGTGACCCCTCTTCCATATATTATTCTATTTCAGTGAGGTTCCATATTAAGTTATTCGCTCCGTGCGAAGTCATGGTAGTGGAAGCCAAAGCGATACTAGCGCTAGCTGCGGATAATTCGTGCATTTTAGGGCGATATTTTGTAATTTTGGCGTATCAAATATACGTATATATTTTACTTATTTCAAAAAAATTGTGGCACTCGGGGACTGCCGCGGTAGAGCTATTGCATAGCATTTTTATCAACTTATGCAATTATAATTATTTATTTATTTATTTTATTTATGCAGTATTTTTTTTTTATATTAATTCAAGTTACACTTTTTGAGCGTGGTGACCGATAAGAAAACAATTTTTTTCTTTTATTGAATAAATAAGAAGTTAATATTGTTTAAAATATTTTTATTATCTTACAATACATGTAGGTTATTCAGGAATTTTTAACTGAAATAAGAAACATAAGTTTGACACTTGATATCCTCTAAATATCTGAAAAATACTGCGTCAATGGTGGTCCTATATTTTGATGTGGATTCTTGTGGATCATTATTTATTTTCAAATTGAGCAGTTAGCAGCTAGTCTACACGCATACGTCTAGTCGCACGCACACGATTTTTCGATTTTCGATTTTTCGATTTTTCGATTTTTCGATTTTTCGATTTTTCGATTTTTCGATTTTTCGATTTTTCGATTTTTCGATTTTTCGATTTTTCGATTTTTCGATTTTTCGATTTTTCGATTTTTCGATTTTTCGATTTTTCGATTTTTCGATTTTTCGATTTTTCGATTTTTCGATTTTTCGATTTTTCGATTTTTCGATTTTTCGATTTTTCGATTTTTCGATTTTTCGATTTTTCGATTTTTCGATTTTTCGATTTTTCGATTTTTCGATTTTTCGATTTTTCGATTTTTCGATTTTTCGATTTTTCGATTTTTCGATTTTTCGATTTTTCGATTTTTCGATTTTTCGATTTTTCGATTTTTCGATTTATCGATTTATCGATTTTTCGATTTTTCGATTTTTCGATTTTTCGATTTTTCGATTTTTCGTGTGCCGGTCGGAGTGGGGGGGTGTTAGGTTTTTTTCGTTACGCTTTCGTTTTTTTTTTTTGATTCGGTCGCCGCGCTCAAAGCCCGCGATAATAGCTTAAAAATAGATAAAGGCAATAAATACAATGAGCAACCGGAGTTGCTGTGTTGTAAATTGTAAAAATACTAGCAAACAACAGTGTAAATTTTATAAATTTTCAGTAGTAAATTGAAATTTAAATCAAAGAAATAAACGTACCTATAATTGCAGTAAGAAGGGAAAATTAATTACAATTCTTTATTTTTGTAACAATATCTATTGAAAATAGTAAACATGAGAAAACTGAAAGATTTTATATGCTTAAAATATTATTATTTTACGATTTTCTTCAAAATTCTTTAAGTAAATGTTCAGAAGGGACATATTTTTTGCCTTCGAATATTGTCTGTATCTGGAAGGTAAATTTAAGTTATTTTATAATAATTAATTCTATATTTTCTTTCAAACTAAAAATGAAGAAAACAAGTATAAATTACATTCTAAAATATTACAATATTACAACTATTTTTTGGGAATAAATTGTGAATTTATGTTTGACATTAACCTAACTTCATTAGGCAACTTTTTATACACTTGCTCGTAAATACTGTTGCCTAATTACCTATTTTATATACTTTTTTTAGCTGAAGTAATAAAAATATCTAATAATAATAAATGAATCTTTTTACTTGTATTATAAATCAATATACTTTTATTAAAACCAAAAAATACATTTTTTAATTACGAATTTTATTTAAAATACTGTCAATACACAAAAATTCCCCCTTTGGTATATATTTTAGTTGACGCTGCCGTCACGCAAGGAGCGAATAAATTTACATGTCTATGGGGTTACCAAAATTTATTTTTGCTTCTACAATGTTGAAAATTTTTAAAGATCCAATTATTTTTAACCTATAAAATACAATTATATGTCATTTATTTTTTTATTTTTTTTTTCTTATGAGGTGACTGAAAACGCAGGTATTTTAATTTTATGATAAGAACATCTCATAAACACCTACCTATACAGTTCCTTGGTCCAGCGCTAAACGGAACATATCTATATGGATTAGTACCATCAATTTCTAAAAATCTTTCAGGATTAAATTCCAATGGTTTTGGGTAATACTTTGCATTTCTTTGAGCCATATAAGGAATTATTAGAAGATTTTGACCTTTTGGAAATGTCGAATTTTCTAAAATGAAAGAAATGTATCAAGAATAGTTTTGTTTGTAACTCACTGTTATTTACGAAAAAAATAAAAAACGAACAAAAAGAACGACGTCATAGGTTAACTGAATCCATTATAAGAAAGTGTTTGTTGTGAGCTTTTAATCAAAAAATATTTGACAATTTTAAACATGATTTTTGAAAATGAAGACAAGTATTAGAAATTAAAAATTTAAAAAAACCGACTTCAAAAACGTGCAGATGCCGTCACCATATCTTAACCAAATTTATATGGGACCACCCCTGAGGTATCCCCTTACTAACAAAAAAAGAATCATATTAATCGGACAATTTGGTAAAGCATTATCGCTAAATATACTTAAAAAATGAAGAGTTTGAGGATTTTCTCATGGACCCAATTATTATATTTTGACCAAATTTATATGGGACCACCCCTGAAGTACCCCCTTTCTAACAAAAAAATAATTATTGAAATCGGACACCGTGCTAAAGAATTATCGCTGAACATACATAAAAAAAAAAATATCGCGACGAATTGATAACCTCCTCCTTTTTTGAAGTCGGTTAAAAAATACGATATGCATTTGGCATATTTTGAATGTGAAAATAGTGTTATTGCTGAGTCTGAATTATATTGCTACGAAGGTTTTTGGTAGCTTAATTTATTTTAACACAACTTTTACAATAACTATAAACTAAGAACATTAACGTATAACGTCTATCATAAACTCCCTGTCTGACGTCAGGATCACCGACTTATATAGCTCGATTTACCCTTCTAGAAACTTCTTGAACTGTCTAGATTTTTCAATGCGTGGAATGACATTTATCGCATATTTCCCCTTCTTCTTTTTTTTCGTATCTTTACTTATGACGACCACAACACGCTGAAGGGTGCTGCGTTACATTGCTCCCTTCTCTCTAGTGATTCGCTCCGAATAACTTGATTACTGGGACCTGGTTAGAGCTAACGGGCATAATCTGTACCACAGTATGGTGCTAAATTTTTAATGTGAATCCTTAGATTTACTTCCCGCTGACAGCTGAATGCGGTAGATCAGCTCGTTGATTTTCCTTAAGAACGGTGTAGGGGCCTTCCTAGTTCCGATTTCTGACAAAGTCCTCCTCGGTGCTTGAGACTGTACAGCCGTACTAGGTCGCCTTTCTCAAAATGTATCACTATGGCACGTCTGTTGACTCTAGCTTTTGCTTTATCGCTGTTGGCTTTCAGTCGTTCCCGAGCGAATCCGTAGACCTTTGACCTACCATTGCATACATCACATTTTTTACACCAGTCCACTACATCCCGTCGGCAATTGACCCAATAAAATCTTTCCCGAATCCATGCAAGTGTCCTTTTAGTACTAAAATATCCTCCCGAACGGCTGACATGAAGCTCCTTCAATACATTTCTGACATGTTCTTTCGGCAGTACCACTTGGCGGGCTACAAGTACTCCATCGGGGCTCTCCCACTTCCGGTACAATAGGGTATCGTGAAGATACATGGAATCCCACAGAGTCCATTACCCTTTAATAGCTCCACTGTATTTGGCTATCTCTTGCCAAGTAGGTGTGACTTTATTTGTGAGCCATTCTCGGACAACCTTATGTTCCTTTCTAAGGCTTTTAAGGGTGATTCGGTGCTCTACGTCTTGGTTATTACTAGAACGCCGGCTAGGTGTGGGTGATGGGCTTCTCCGGGACGCATATCTGCTGTAATTATTTCTTGTTAGATTTCGTAACGGGCTTAGGGAGATTGATCTATGTAACTTTCTGTATATTAAAGTGTATCGTACATGTGCTTTTTGTCTCTACAAGGTAATCCGTTGATAATAATAAACTTGTCACGTAAATTTTAGGTTCAAATAGACTGTCAACAGTTAACAGTAAATATTTGAGTAAGGGCTGTTTTGTAATTATTTTTAATATACATATGTTACTGTTTATTGACTTATTTTTATTCTCTTCTCCCCTTTCCAAAACCAATAATGAAATATTCTGAGCAGTTGTAAAGCCTCGGCGATTCTACTCCTAAGGACTAGCAGTCTTTAACTAGTTGCCAAAGCTGCTCGACTATGCTATTAAGGGATAATTTCGTTTTTTTTTTAAATAATTTTCTTGCCACTGGTGAATGGATGTTCCTTCCGGACTCCAGGACCCTTTAGCAGGTGACAGTGATGCTTCCCTTGATAACCGTAGTTAAAGACCTATTAGTTGTTACACTGGTTCTTTTAGACTAGTTGGTTGTTACACAAATATATCATAAAACTTCTTTACGTCAAATTGGAGAAAGAAATAGGTATTCTAAGAACCAAAACAGGAAGAATTTTAATGAAACATTAATTTAAACCAAACAAAAATTTGAGAAGTATACAAGTATAGAGGACAATGCAATGAAAATCCAAATTTTTACTCAAAGGTAACATTTAGCGATGAATCTCGCATAACCAGCGCAGGAATATTTAATGGACACAATGAACTATATTGGAATGACTCAAATCGAGTTTTAATATTTTTCAATAATCGATCTGTACCTCGCAAATGAAGGGAGATATTGAAGATATGATTGAACAGTCGTTACTTTTTATCGCCTCTACTTTTCAGGATACCCTGTATATTAACGTCTAAGCCATGAACTCTGATCAATCTTACCCCATTCAAAATCCTCATTTACTTTTCTTGAAAAAAATGGCACAGAAGGGTACAATCTTAATGTTTCTTTTATAACAAGTTCCAAATATTTCATTTTTTGAAGATCTGCTGTGGTTGATCTGGCTTCTTTGTTGTTACCGCCAAATATTTCAATTTGTTCTTCCAATGCTTTTTGCTACAAAAAATTAAAAAAATATATATTCGCTATGAGCAGTGTTGTTCCTGGTTGTACAAAATGTTGTACAATCAGTTATGTGGTTGTACTGTTGTACGGACTTCTGAAAAAAGACGGAAATGTACAATTTTAAGTTGCTAATTATTTATGTAAAATCTGGTATATAAAAGACTTTCGTCTACTCATGTCTACTTATGTATTAAAGTTAATAAAAAAATGAAAGTTTATGTTTGGTGTCGTTCGCGACCAATCGAAATCATTTTGAAACTGGTTGGACTTGTATCCTTAAAAAAAAAAGAAGAATTTTAAGTTTTGGAAAGAGGTATGTCGTAGGCTAGCAGTGAAAAAGAAGAAGATAAATTAGTGGTTGTACAATCGAACATAAAAGTGTACAATTTTGATACTGAAAGTTGTACAATTCCAAAAAGGAAGAACACTGGCTTATGAGTCTAAATATAATAAATGTGAAAAAGTGCAATTGAGTAGATAACCTTAACCTTAAGGCGGGTACAGATCTGAGCACGTACGCGTATGAGGCAAGCCGAGTACTGAATAGATTATAGCGAGTATTTAGGGTTTATTTTGCATGAAGTGGAGACAGAAAAAGGTTTTGCTTCTCCTGGATGTATATACTCAGCAAGATATTTTATGGAGAGCAAGACAAAATAATAAAACAGGCACTCAACTATCACACCTCTATTTTTGTTTTAATTATACGAGTGTTCTGGGTGTACGGTTGCGTGCTCGCAAATTTACTGGATCAGTAGCGAACAGCGCCTCGTGCGTTCACAATTCGTGCATACAAAATGCGTCGCACGAGGCATTCCATAGAAAAACTAAAAAGAGAAGGTTTGAATAATAGGCGGGAATTGTTTCCTTGTTTGTAGTTTATCATATCGCGCTTCACGCGCTGCGAGCACTAAATAAAAGCCGTTTTTACACCCATATGATAATTAAAAAATGAATAAATTTTAAAGAAATCAATAATTTTACTAATGCAATCTTTTAAATATCACTTTAATACAATATAATGATCAAATACAGGGATAATTGTTATAAATTTATAAAGTTAAAGCTACATTTGAATATTATGAGGTGGTGTAAATCTGGCTTTGCTAATAAATTAGGTTATGTTACACTAAAACATGACAGTCGTGGAAAATGTAGGTGAGTAAAATTTAATTAATCTTATTTTTAATTTAGTTTTAGTTAAATTTAAGTAATTTATAGGTGTAAAAATATACTGAGGTCCTTAACGATGTCATTAACTTATAATAAATTCACATTATCATGTGCTGCTCCAAATTGCAGAAGCAAATATTATTTACATTCACTTAATAAGAAATTTTTTTACTTTTCCGTCCATTATTACCCTTAGAGAGAAATGGTTTGATATTTTAAATATTCCCTACACATCTAAAAAAAACTATAGTGCGAGGATCATTTTGACGAGAATGCCTTCACCAGCACTTTGCCTACTAAGCTCATTAAATTTGCCTTGTCTTTAGCGCCTTTAGAAGAGAATATTACTACTAATAATAATATTACATTAGATGAAAATTTTTCAAAGCTACCTTCATCAAATTCTCTTGCAAAAATAAATGTAATTAGTAATGTTTTGATTAAACCTTCTGTTTCGAATATAACTTCAGCTAAAAGAAAGCTAGATTTTTTAATGATAGAATTGAATGTGTTGAGGAACCTTTAATAAAGAAACCACGTGTAAGAACTGGTATTTTAAATCAAATTAATGCAACTACAATTGGTAATTTAACTCCTAGAAAGAGAAAATTTTATTATATTAATCAAGAGCAGCAAAACAAAATTTCAAGATTAAAAAATAGTTTATTAAAATCTAAAAATACAATTAAGACTGCTTTAAAATTATCAGAAACAAATTTATTTAAAAATTTTAGTTTAATTTTAAGATACACACTGCGCCTTTATTTTTTTTTGTTTTAGTTATTCCTGAGTATGGAGATTTTTGGAATGGATATTGCAACTACAATGAACCGAAATAGATGGGTGAAGGGATAGTAAAGTGGTTTAGTGCCAGAGTTACCTAACCAACAAAATTTCAAAACAACTGGTCTTTGTTATTGTTTTAAAATCATTTCTATACATGCCAAAGTTACCTATTCCTTAAAATTATGTAGTTCATGACAAAATTAAATACTTATTTGACAAGTGACTATTTTTAAATTTTTCTTAAACTTTGATCTCAACTTAATTAATTATTTTTTAGCAACTCTGGCACTGGAACACCCAATAGAGCTTAAGAATAATAAAAAAATTTTCAGGTAGTAAACTCAATTTATTTTTAATGTGTACTTTTTGTGATAATGTGTAATTTTGTGATATTAGGTAATTTTATAGATATAAAATAATAATATTAATAACAATAATAATCGTGATTAGTGTAAACGTATATTTTTAAATTAACTTCAACCCTTGAACATTTTTCAACATATTGTGAATATGATGTTTAATATAATGTAATGATATAGTTACCTATTCTAAATAAAATAAACTTATTACAAATGTTTTTATTTTTCATTTAAAACAAGTGACATTTTCCGTTTTTCAGCATTTACTTACAATAAAAATTCATTTTACTTATTGATTGTTTCAATTATTGTAAGTAAAAGCTGTAAAATAGGAAAATGTTACTTGAAATTACTTCAAATTTCATAAATTTTAAAGCCCGCCATTTTTTAAATCGCTTTACCTAGTAGTTTTCTACTTTACCGACTGTACCGAATTATAGTTCATCATAACGCGCTCAGCGCGCCACTGTCGAGGTCAAACAAACTTGTTACCAACTATTTACAGGGGAACTGGCTACCCTGAGGCATTCAGTTCGGCCTCGGCTTGCCTCATACGCTTACGTGCTCATATCTGTACCCGCCTTTAGAGTTTAGATCCAGTTAAAACATTTAACATTTTTTATGCTTGGTTGTCAATATAATTACCTGCACTCGTTGATTATTTGCTAAGCTATACATCGCAAACGAAATAGCTGAAGATGTAGTATCATGGCCCTAAAAAATATTATATTATTTATTTCATCTTATCTATTGGTATATAATAAAAATAGGAATAAAATACAGTAATTCTCACATTAGTGACTTTAGAGAAGAGAGAAAGAAAACATATTCAAAAATTTATTTTCCTTTGTTTAAATTGAATAATTTATAAATTATTATGTTTAAAACTTCGAACTGAATAGTAAATAAAATAAAACATTTTTCAAATAATTATTTAAAATACATTCCTTGTGGCCATATAATATAATATATATTTTTTTAGATAATTTACATAAATTATATAACTTATGCCAAAACTGGTATATTAACTATCAAAGTATTTACAACAATAATTAACTACATCAGATATCTAAAAATTGACTACACTTAAAAACATTGTGATTCCATTTACAAACATTTTCATAGGACGATAATAATAGTAAAATAATATTAGATACAAAAAATATTAGAATACAATAATATTTTTCATTAGTTTATTTTTTTTTTTAAACAAATAAGATAAACAACCATAAACAAGAACTTTTTATTACTATTAAAGATGATACTTATCTACATGGGCACCGCTGCACGATGGCAAGGGGACCGTCTGCCCCCACTGTGATTTTGCATTTTTCCACATGGCTATTGACTATAGTCTACGGTGTTTTAACCCTGACTATAAGACTTGAACCGTGGAAATTTTTTAAATGGCGCCCATGCTTATCTACTTACAATTTTTTTCTGAACCGGCATCAAAACAGTAAATAGAGGAAATAATAACGGATTGACTATCTGATAAATAAAAGAGTCCTATTTTTTATTTTTCATATTTTTTTAATTTATGTCGCGAAATAAAAAGTTTAAGCGATCTGAGCCATGAAGGCTTTTGTCAAGTGAAATATCAACTGAGATATGTGTATTAACTAGAAAAAATTATGTAGCTACTTTTAAATTATTCCAATAATTGTTAAAAATAAATATCTATGTTCTAGGTATGTATAAACATTAAAATTAACAATTTAATCATCAAATCGATTTAGCATTAATATAGACATTACATAAACCGAAATAGGAATGAAGCATCTGACATATTTTTTAGTAATTTAAATTCGGCTATACTGAAAACAATCATAAAAAAATGTTTAAATGTATTTATAATTAATGACGATTTAATTCTTTCATTATTATCTAATAGCATTTGTACTCTTTCTTTCCATTTTAACATAATTAGTTTTTAATTACCTATTGCTTTACAAGAAGATAGGTTTTGTTTTGTTCTGTTTTTATTATTATTAACCAACTTTAAGTTATTGGCAAATACATTTATATAGAAATATATAATTGAGATCTTTCGAAACAAAAAAGAGTAATTTTTTGTAGTAAGTTAATATTATGGAATAGACAATATCATTTTATCATAATTAAATGGTAATTACTTTAGTTGCAACCATGTAATGTTTTGTGGCTTAGCAGCTAGGCAAAATTTACATTTCTGCTGAACAAAATAATAGTATGTGCAACAAGAATGGCCATATCGCACGATGACAAAGTTTTAGGTCCGTATTTATAAACAAAACTCAGCTAAGTCGGACTTGGGTAAGTCTTCCTTGAACTAAAATGGAAGTTCGGTTATGTCGAGTGAATTTAGAGATGGGTAGTAATAAATTCGTAAATGTACTTAACAGTTATAGATTTGCAAATTAGATTTACGATTTACTTCAGTACAGTACAGTTCGTAGTCACATCGATCCTCAAAAAAGCGATCTAAAGTGTAGTCAAAAGTGAAATAAAAATGTTTTAAATTCACCAATCTCTTAAGAAAACAGTAAGTAACACATATAACAGATAACTTAGTGAGAAAATTAAAATCTAAAGAAAAATTTGAAAATTGATAAGACGTTCTCCCAAAAACCAAAGTCAGGCAGCTCATGTAAAAATATAAAATAAACCACGATGGAATCCGTATCTGCATCTGAAATTTTGCAACAATTAACAACACTTATTGAAGATCAGAACAAAAAACAAACAGATGCAATAAAACACACACTAAATGAAGAAATAAAAATAATTCGAGAATTATTAGTTAAAGAATCAGAAAAAGTTATAAAATTAGAAACGGAAGTAGAGACATTAAAAACTATTAACAAAGTATTAGAAAAAAAGGAACGTTGCAATAACTTGATTATTTTTAATTCCAAATTTGATAAAGAAGATCTGTTACAACATACATTAAATACCTTAAATGGTAACCTTGGACTACAATTAGTGAATTCAGACATTAACAACTTATACACTATTGGAAAAAGTGCAACAAACAAACCAATAATAGTAAAATTTGTAAAACAAAATATTCTTAAACACTGTATTAAATTGAAAGGTAAAGATATTATAATAGCAGAAGAATTGACAAAAGAAGAAAGAACGGTAAAACAAGTTTTGGTAAAGCAACTAAAAATAGAAAAGGCCAAGAATAAAAAGGCACATATTTACAAAGAAACTTTATACGTGGAAAGTGAAGCGTTTACATACGAAGATATTATTAATAATAAAAACAACGATATAAGTCAAACTACTATCAAGAACATACAACTTCCAACAAACACAACCACGAAAGCTGAGAAGAATAAAAGAACCTTGGGTGAAAACATTGGGGTAAGGCAGTCGGCAAGACTAAAAAGTGAAAAATAAAAACTAAAAATATTGCTTACCCAGAAAAATTATATTTGTAGTTTTATCTTTACTAACCATTTAATCTTATTGTAAGTACTAAACTATTATTTTATTTTATTTTACTTGAAATTATCATTATTATTAAATGGATAATTATTTAAGAGATTATAGTTAAAGGAACAAATAAATAGAGAACACCATAGGCTCTGCTTGGAACTTCCTGGACTTAGACAGTCCAAAAGATTCATAGAGGGTCCATCCACGAGCAGACAAAATCAACTGCTAAACCTTAGCAGAAGCGAACCTAAAGCCGTAATAGGACTCCTTACGGGACACTGCGGCCTTAAAAGACACCTTAATCTCTTAGAGATATCTGATGACTCCCTATGTAGAATATGTGAAGAGGAGGACGAAACTCCTATTCACATACTATGTCACAGTCGAAACCTCAAATGGAAACAGGAATGGTGTACAATATCCGGAACCTGAAAAAATCGCGAAAGTGCCCATCAGATATATTCTTGAATTCATCAAGAAAATCCATCTGATGGGCTTTGAACCACGCCCTAATTCAGATAAATAGATAGATGGGTTGAAATTTTCTGGTGGCGCCACCCTAGAAGAAGTTGTTGCTTCATCTTTTGCTATATATTTTCTCCTTCTGATTTTATATCACTGTTAGTTTTCCATGGGAATATACGTTGTGGTGCTCTCTAGAAGTCTACTTTAACACAAAGAACTATTATAACTAGTATTGATCATTCAAATATATACAAAACTAGTTTTGTGCGATTCGAAATGTGCAAAACTAGTTTTGACTATTTTGTAACACTCAATCGCGGCATGAAAATACAATTATTCGTTGCGCAAAATTAGTTTTGCGAAATTTTTTCGGGCATTACACGAATTCGAGTATTGTGCGTAACATATATACAGACTTCACCGATGTTACCGATTCATCCTGGGATGTTTTGGTCGCAACAAATTTCATCGATGTTGCAATGTCACCCACCACAGACGCAACCTCGGTCGGAAATATCGAATATCGCTGGATTGCCAGCGATTATCGTCTGTACAGAGCTTAAAATAATCTTAATATTTATATTTACCTCAAACATAAACGTATCTACTTCTTCTCTAATGTCTTCTCTAGTCAAAGGAATACCATCTATAGTGCTTTTCAGAAGCAAATCTAAAAAGGCCATTCTCTTTTTTGTTCCACTATCGTTCAGTTCTTCATTTTTTTCATCACAGTTTTTTAACTGCTCAATTTTTCTATCTATTACAGCATCGGTATGAGAGTGTAATACTTTTACAGCCGAGCGTTCTCTATAAAAATTCAGTGTTAGAGGATACAAACGTGTATCCAGTGGAGAAAAGTTTCTATCGGTAATTATGGCACACATTTTTTTAACACTTTGTACATATTTGGAATTACCATCGGTTTGTGCATTTACAGAAGTACCCATTGCAGCCTCTAAAATAATTATTGTAAAATGTATTTAACTCAAATTTCTTTGATAATTGAAGATGTAATTTAAAATTTTTATCAACAAAGTTTCCCAACAAAAATTATTATAATCAATTTAAATCTTATGTTCGTAGGTTTCTTTCACAGTATCAATAATTTAAAAGAAAATTATTAAAAAATTAATAGAAATGGAAAATAACTCTGACAAGAAAATAAAAGAAATAATAAAATGTTGATTGATGCATATAAAGAAGTAGAACAAGATAAAATAAAAGAAAAATATCTAAAACAATTAAAAGAAGATTAAGCACATCAACAGGAAATAAAAAAAATAGAGACGGTAAAAAGGAAATTGAACAAAGGACAGTGGATACAGATGATAACATTGAAAAAACAAAGAAGAAAAATTTAAATTAGATGAGATAAAGAAAAGGAAAAGTGTACAAATAAATAAAGAGGAAAATGATATACAGCTAAAACTAGATAAAAATAGAAATTAATGATAAAGAAGTTTATGAAGAAATATAGGGAGAGCAGAAAGACCAAAAATCAAGATGATAGTAGAGTAGAACAGAAAAGCAGGAGTGAGCAGAGAAAAGGACAGATAAACTTTTTAAAAAATTAACTCGATCAATCACCCTGTATCTTGGTTGTAAAGAATCAAATATAGTTTATTTTGAACCACCCTCGTTGTTACTTATCAATCCCTAAATCAAGAGTATGTTTAAAAAAAATTATTCATAAACCATTTACTTTTTTTAAACAACTATACTTTCGTTGGATGGTATCAATATTTATAAATCTTTTTTAGTATTGAGTAAAATATAATATTACTTTAAAACAATTACCGCAAATGACATCTAGTGTATACAATGAAACCAATGGATAAATATCAAAACTGTCTTCGTCTTCATGTTTTTCTAGCTGTTTCATAAATATGTCACCAACTCTATTAAACACATCTAAAAAATTATCTAAAATTGAAAAATGAAAAGCTGGTGTCAGCATGCGACGACGTTTTTTCCATTTAGAACCTACAAAAAAAAATTAAATTAAATTACTTGTTACAAGGTAATGAACCAACGACATATTTTAAATGACCATGATATTATATCGATTAAAGAATCAAACATTATATAATATTTGTACATTACTGTAGACAAAAATCTAAAATGGGCGAAGCACATTCATGAATTAACGAAGTTATAGGATTTTTACACGTCTTAATGACGTTACTCTTTCGTCATAGTCATAGTCATAGTAGGATTGAATAGTTCACGAACGAACTAGTTTCAATAAGCATATCTCTTTAATGAATTAATTGAACTAGTTCAGAACGACTCAATCACATAGCTAATTAGTTCAGTTGAATCGAACGAACGAAAACGTTATAGATCCACAGTTTCTTATTTTAGTTCTCTAATGCTGGGCAGATTTTTAGTGAAAGAATAACTCTGTTAAAATCAGAAAGAGTATCTATTTTCCTTTTTTTGCACAACAATATGTAAATTGTAATGTAAATTATACAGGATACTGCCAATTTCATTAGTTTTTTTCAAAGATTCTTTTAATTATTGGATAAATAATAATTTTTTAAGTGTTTCTGTAAATTTCAATTATTTATTTTTATATGTCGTTCATATCTGACATTCTCGTATCACTCAACGAATCATCACTTATTCTGTTAAATATATTCACCTGGGGTGGGATTCCGTTTTGAGTCGAGTAACTCGATCTCGATACGATTCATAATTCGATCGAATTATGAAAAGCAATTCTATCTGTTTTGACTTCGGAAATCTTCGACTCGGATTTGATATCAAACTCCATAATTGCAATTCCGTTCAACGAAATTCGACAGTAAACTCGATAAAATAACTCGATAGATCTAGAGTAGTCGATTCGATATCAAATCATTAAAGTTGAATTTTTTTGACATTAGGTATGAACCTTTCCTGCAGCAATGTGCCTTTTCTAAATAACCTCTCCTGCATTAAGGGCCTTATTTTCTCTATTAGGTATATACGGGGACAGTATCTGTATCTGTAACGTGAGAAGAGTGGGTTAACTCATGTCACTTAGGCCTCACTAGGCTCATTGGACAAACTCCCAATTAGATAGGTACCTACTAGCTCGTGAGCCAGGGACAGTATTGCTATTTCTTAAACGGTAACAAATAGAAAAATGGTTGAATTTGACAAAAGTTGCGCAGTTTTGTGCTGATTAAAATGGTGCCAGAAAACATTTCATATCTACAAAGAAATTCAAAATATCTGACAAAAACGAATCAATGAATTTAAAGAAATTACAATTTTAATTTTTTGTCCGATATTTTAGATCTCCCTCTAGATATCAAAGGTTTCTTGGCACCATTTTATCAAGCACAAAACTGCGCAATTTTTGTCTAATTTAACCAACCTTCTATCTGTTAGCGTTTAAGAAATAATAACACTGTCCCTATGAAATAGTAGAGACTCTGTATACTACTTGAAACATCAATAAGAAGATTTATTAATTACATAAAACGCTATAAAATATAAACTAATAAAGGAAGGTAATTTTTATTCAGCCAAAAAAGCTATCCACGCAGCGATTTTCAGAGAGTTCGAAAGGATCGCTTCTTTCCCTTAGGTCTTTTTTTCTTTAGCATAAAGCACAATAATATTAAATAATAATTAATTTACAATTTACCCCATTACGAGTGATCCTGCAACTCTTAAAGCATATAGCTGGTATCGGGGCGGGACTACCGTATTATTATTATTTGCCATGGCGCTCCAATGGAACTTACAGATGGTGTCGTCTAACTTATAGATGAGGACACCCAGAAAAACCCCAAGCATCATCATAAAAAAATAAATTATTAATCTTATGGCTAAACAGGCTAAACCAAATACAATACAATTTAATTGTTGTCGGGGAGGGACGACTATTAATATTTTCCATGGCGCTCCGCAGCAACTTACAGATGCCATTCAAATTATAAATGAGAACACTACGGAAGAACCCCACCCATAAGAATAAAACTCAATAAATAATTAACGCCAATACTAAAGAAATACAATTCAAGTTTTGTTGTTTGACATTTATAAGTCAGAATAGTTTGAATGCGTCATTATTTTGTCGAATTTCCGAAGATTTCCGAAGTCAAAACAGATCGATTTATAGAATCCCTGTTTTTAATTCGATCGAATTATGTGTCGAGTTACTCGACACAGAACAGAATATCACGACTTTTAACGACAAACAACAAAAATTAAATTGTAATTATTTATTAGTTTTTATGCTTGTGTGGGGTTTTTCCGGGGTATCCTCATCTCCAATTCAAATGACATCTGTAACTTGCCTCGGAGAGCCATGGCAAATAATAATAGTCATCCCTCACCGGGTACAAATAACTCTGCATTCAGAATTGCAAGGATCACTCATAATGGGTTAAATTATAAAAATATTATTATTTATTATTATTAGACTAAAGAAAGAATGAGTTACAAAAAAGAAACGATCCTTCTGAACTTCCAGAAAATCGTCGTGGAGAACTTTTTCAGCTGAATAAAGAGAACCTATAAATGTTTATATTTTGTATCGTTTTGTATAATAACTAATCCTTTTATTGATATTCCAAGGATATAAAAGACCTCTGTTGCACGATAGGTTATCCAGAAAAGGCATTGCCAGAGACATAGGTATGTCCTGGAAACTAAATTCCTTTCTTCCCTAAAATTTTAAGCCACAGGCTTATTATTTAACCTCATTGACAGGTCATACCTAATGTCAGAATAATCCAACTTTAACGATTTGATATCGAATCGACTACTCGTTAAACGGAATTGCTTTTATGGAGTTTGATATCAAATTCGAGTCGAATCGTGAAACGGAATCCCACCCCACTATTGAACGATTTGAACGAACTAGTTCTTTTCGTTCAGTGAACGAGATTGAACGAATCAGCTGAGTGAAAAAGCAAATAGTACTACCAATGTTTGAAAAGTACCTTTTGGAGTAGAACAGAGCGAATAAATAACCTATTCTGTATACTATATAAAAATGTGTTACATTTTTTTTTTTAAATATAAATATAATTAATTTATAACGCCTTTTCTTGGCTTTATAATACTTTTCTACGGCGACTTAACCCTTAACAAATATTTTTAAGAGTAGACTATGGTCCGGTGCTGACACCGAAAATTAAACAAGCGGTAATTTGTGCTTAAAGATTTTTCGATTTCTTCATTGGAAAAGTTGACTAATTAATAGTAAAAGTGTTACCATAGTGTGTTTAAGTGGAAAACTACCAATAATCATAAAATTATCAAACCTAGTAAGTCATTCTGTCCCAATTTTATGGTTAAAAACAGTTTTTGCCAACCGAAAATCAACAGAAATAGATAAAGGTCAAGAACGGGTCTAGATATCACCGCCGTTCAGCGCTTACTAATAAAGAACAGGACCGTATTTAGGATTGAGCTAAATGAATTTATTTAACAATGGATGAGTTTCCCGAATTAGGAGCTCTTAGTCAAGGAAGTTCACAAAATACAATTAATAATAACCAAAGTAGAACCTACTCAACAGTCGCCACCCAAAATAAATTTAATTTCCCATCAAAAAAACAAGCAATAGTTTTCTCTGCCCTGGATAACACTAAAGTGGAAGAATATTTATATGCAATTGGAAACAAAATCCAACCCCAAAATATTTTGTTTATATCTCGCATCTCAAATAACAGAATATGCATCTATTTGTCAAGTAAAAATTCCTAAATACAGATAATGGATCAGTAGTAGTTAATCAACAAATCATTCAAGGCCGTCGTCTAATAAATGCCAACGAACGACTAATCATCTCTAACGTTTGTCCGACAATTCCCCATTTAGTTATCGAAGATGCTTTAAAACGAATTGGACTATCACTTGTAACTACCTTAAATTTCCTGAGGATTGGAACCCAAGCTTTAGAATATAAACACATCTACAGCTTTCGGAAACATGTATACATTAACCCTCCAAAAAATATATCAATCCCAGAATCTATTATTATTGATTATGACAAACATCCTACCGAATCTACCTATCGTTAGACAACCAGATCTGCTTTGTATGTAAACAAAGCGGTCATATGGCACAAAGCTGTCCACATTCCATTAACTTTTCTCCCACAACCAACCAAAATACACAATCACTGTCACAAACAAACAAGGGAAACAACACAACTATCTCAGCAAATAATTCTGGCAAATCGATCATAAATGTACCACAATCATACCCTTCATCAAGCATAACACCGACATCCCCACAAACAAATGCTTTCTCCACTCCAGCAGATAATTCCAACCAATCTAACATGTCTATTATACAATCCTGTTCCCAATCAAGCAATATCCAACCTGAGGCCAACATACAAACAAATACATCAATACCAACTGATACTTTAGTGGCCTCAAATTCACTCGAAAACACAACACAACACCAGCATCCTAAAGATCAAATGAAAAAACAAGAATCCGTTCAATCCACACCACCAGCACAGGATAATCCCGAACAAAATATATTTACTATACCTGGAGCTAAACCAATGAAAAAATCAAAAACATTTAATCTTAACAAGAAAATACAGGACCCACTTGATGAAATGATGCAACCCATACAAGCTTTTCTTAAAGATACCTCTTTCTCCTTCCCACTTAACTTCGAAGAATTAAGATTACTAATAGAAAATGCCCAAGGCTCACAAGACCCCCTCAGTATTGTAAAAACTTTTTCTCATGATTTTGAAGGCCTTATAGATATGTTAATAAAGGTTCATCCCTACTGTGCTAATAGTAAGCTTAAGACTAAAATTACTAAACTAAGAAAAAAAAATACAGAGACAATTCCAACCTGAAAGTATACTTGAATCATCAGATACAGATACCTCAATAGATAACCAGTAAACAAACAAATTATATTTAGTATTCTTAACTCTATAATTCAGTGGAATCTAAATGGGTACTACACCCATTTAGAAATGTTAAAAGTATTGATAAACAAATATAATCCTTCAATAATATGTCTTCAAGAAACACATTTTAAAAACAACAATGTTCACAAACAGAAACTTTAACTGCTTCCATAAAAATAGAGATATTTATAACCATGCTAGCTGGAGGTGTAGCTATATACATTGACAGTAAAAAAATTACACTAACAACCGACTTAGAAGCAGTAGCGGTATCGATAGAAGGCCCAACAAACATCAATATATGTAACATTTATATTCCTCCAGACACTAGTCCAACTTTACATGATATAACACACCTTTTAAATCAAATAAATACTCCTCGCATCATAATTGGCGATTTTAACGCACATAATTTCATATGGGGCTCAAAGAAACAAACACCACTAGGGCGCACAGTGGAATCAGTTATAAATAGTCTAAACCTCAATATACTAAATGATGGTAGAAGCACACGTTTTAATGCAACAACTGGTGAATCCTCAGCAATTGACATAACTTTAAATGATCCTGCATTATCAGTCTCTCTGTCTTGAGACGTCCTTCCTTTCACCTACGATAGCGACCATTTCCCAATAATTATAGCCAATTCTATCAATGAACAATCTCAATATCAAACCCAAACCCAGCCAAAATGGAGAATAAAGGATGCGAACTGGGAACTTTATTCCACACTGATAACTAATAACCAAGCTTTAAAATATGACTTCAATAATAATGATTCTATAGACACCAAACTAAATATCTTTAACGATTTTATCATAAGTGCAGCAGAAATAGCAATTGGGAAAACCCACTTTAAAAAACCTCGAAAAGCAGTACCTTGGTGGAACACAGAGTGTGAAGTAGCTATAAAAGAATATAAAAAGGCGTTTAACCGATTCAAAAGAAACAAAAATCTAGTATGTCAGATAGAATTCAAAAGACTACGAGCCAGTGCTAGATTCATAATAAAGAAAACTAAACGGGAATCATGGAGAAAATTTGTATCTGACTTAAATACATCAACCCCCATTAGCACTGTCTGGACCATTATAAAGAAACTTAATGGAAAAAACTCATACAGCACAATAAACTACATTGAGGACAATAGTTCAGTTTTGATATCGAAACAAGATATCACAGAATCTTTAGCAAACAATTTTTATCTATCTTCAAGCGACAGTTCACTATCACAAGAATTCCGGACATTGAAACACAATGAAAAAAAATCAGAATATCATTTGAATTAGCCAATGACGCTGAACTCAACCATCAATGATTTAAAAGATACAAGTCCTGGACCTGATGATATACCCGGCATCTTCCTTAAAAAACTTCCTGTTATAGCAAAAAATCATTTGCTTAATTTATTTAATTCTATGTGGCGTAAACACGAATTCCCAAAGATCTGGCGGTCATCAATTGTAATCCCAGTTCATAAACCTGGAAAACCCAAATCATCTTGTGATTCCTTTAGACCAATAGCTCTAACGTGTACCCTATGCAAAATTTTAGAAAAAATAGTAAGCAATAGACTATCGTGGCATTTAGAACATCGTAAATTGCTGTCATCTATCCAAAGTGGTTTTAGAAAACAGAGATCAACGTTGGATAACCTCGTAGCGATTGAGTCCGAAGTACATGAAGCTATGGCAAACCACCAACACTGTATAGCAATATTTTTTAATATAAAAAAATCATATGATACGATATGGCGTCATGACATCATAAAAACCCTTCATCAATGGTCAATTCATGGCGATCTTGCTATTTTATCAAAAATTGTTTGATTCAACGAACCTTTCAAGTTCGATTAGACGGCTTCCTATTAACACCAAAAATTCAAGAGAATGGTATTCCGCAAGGTTCCAACTTAAGCGTAATATTGTTTTTAATAGCAATCAATAATATTACCCAGGATATCAGCAGCCCAATCAAAGCAAGACTATATGCTGATGATGTCGTCATCTTCTTAAGTGGAAAAAATATCAGTAGAATACATAGAACATTACAGGAAGCATTATATAACATCCAGACTTGGTCTGAAGAAACTGTTTTGCAACAATAACACAATAACGATTTGCCACACCTAAATTTGTACAATCAACCAATTGAGTATGTGGATAGCATAAGATTTCTTGGAATGATATTTGATAAAAAACTTTCATGGGAAGAACATATAAAATATCTTCGATTAAACTATCAACAGGGTCTAAATTTAATGAGATTAGTAGCACACAAGTGTTTGGGAGCCGATAAATTTATTTTAATGAACTTATACAAAACGCTAATTCGGTCAAAAATAGATTATGGTAGTATTGTTTACAACTCTACAAGGAAAAAACTACTATAACAACTAGATACCATTCATAACAGCCCAATTCGAATTGCCCTAGGAGCATCTTACACAAGTCCAAGAAAAAGTTTATACTGTGAAGCAAGTGAACCACCTCTGTCACTCCGTAGAGAATATCTAAGCTTGACATTTGCAGCAGCTGCTGCTTCTAATCCTGAAAATCCAGTGAATAACTATATCTTTGCCAATCGTTTCCAAGATATTTACAGAAAAAGAAAAAGAATCCATCTCCCTTTCTACCAACGCCTAAACCAGTATCTAATTCACCTTAACCTAAATTTTCCACTCGTATATACTCCCTCAAAAATTAAGACCCCTATACTGATGCAGCCAATTCAGAAACAGCAATAGGAGCTGCTTTCGTGTCTCTTGGAAAAAGCTTATCTTGTAAAATTCCGTCCACAGCCTCAATATACACTACCGAACTCTCAGCAATACTCTATGGTCTGAAATACATAAATGAGATAGAACCCCCAAAATGCCTAATAATTACTGATTCTCTTAGTGCTGTAATAGGAATGAAACAAATATACCCCAGTCACCCAATTCTAATATATATATAAAGGCGGAACTTCATACCATAGCCCAAAAAGGTATAACACTTGGAGTCCTATGGGTACCATCACATACTGGGATAGAAGGAAACGAGAAAGCAGATATTCTGGCAAAAGCAGCTATCTCAAGTCCCGAATCAGTGAACATCGAGGAGACAGTGCACTTAGATCTAAAATCTTATATAAAAAGTGTCGTGCAAAACGAGTGGCAATCAGAGTGGAACCGGTCAAGTTCGAAATTAGCGCAAGTGAAAACTTCGGTGTTACCGTGGAAATCAGTGCCTTTAAATCGTTTTAAACAGGTGGTTTTATCTCGTCTAAGAATAGGTCATACCGGAGTAACGCACAGACATTTAATGTCTGGTGACCAAGAACCGCTATGTTACATATGTGATACTCCCATAGCAGTAAAACACATTCTAATTGAGTGTCCTCTATACACCTTAGAACGACAAAATAACAATCTCCAAAACAACTTAAAAGCTTTACTCCAGGATGATAGTGACCATAAAAATTTAATAAAATTTTTAAAAGACATACAACTGCTACATAATATGTGATCTAGATAATATGGCTGCTAACAACCCTCCGAGGTTGATGCAGTATTGTAAATAAAAAAAAAAAAAGAATAGACTATGATTCAAAATCTAAATCAAACCATTAAATTTTGCAATTTATATTTCGCTTTGGTCAACTGTTCCTGATTTTTACCCCAAAATATAATATATTTAATGTGTCCTGAAAAAATATTGTTTTATAACTTACCTTTACTTGTCAACAGTCCTGTTCCTAACCAATTATGAAAGTATTTGTATTGATCAGTTTTTTCTATAATTTTTGTTGAACTAAGAACATATTCTATTAGTTTTTCGTCTAAAATTATCAGCATACTACTTAGAGGCCCATCATATATTTGATAAATCATGCCATGTTGATTTATGTAACTTTCAATTACGTTGAAAAATTCTAAAAGTAAAAATATTGACTGTACCATCAAAATTTAAAAGTACCTACATATGCCGCGTTTGAGAATCCACATCGGATGCATTTTTACATCTCGAGCGTTTTTCTATCCACATCGGACACATCTGTCCCATTACATTTACGTATACTGAATCACGTGATCAAAGATTTACTACATCTCAGATGCATCCGATGTGGATTCTCAAACGCGGCAATTATTAACTAAAAATGTGTGTAGATTGTAGGTGGAATAAAAAATTGATAATAAAGAGAAAACATCTAAAAAGGCAAATAATATACTTGCAGTCATAGATAATTTTTGTTTTTTAACAATTAAATATCAGTAGATTCGCAGAGCAAGGATATATAGAGGTAATATCGGTGAGGGAAGTAACACACATAAAACGTAAATGTTTATGGACTATATAACAATCATCTAAAACCAATTTTGCCACATTTAAGTCGTATATATTTAGATTTTTTTAGTACTCAAAGCTTCTATGTTTATTAAAATAATTGATTTTTATTTTAATTTTAAACTCATTACTATTTTATGATAAGCGTTTTATAAAATAATTAATAGAGTATTTACGGTGTTTAAAAAGGTAGTTAATTTCTCAAATTTTATTGTTCTTAAGCATTTGTAATACTTTACTAAATTTTGCAACGGGCAACAAAGTTGGGTTCAAAATTAGTGCTTTAAACAGAAAACAGAACCGTTAAAGCCATTACTCAAATACAGTTGACGAATTATTTTTTGTGTTGTGATATAGAAAGTGTTTTCTAGAAGAGTTTTTGGTTTGTTTGTAGCTGTGTATAAAATAAAATTTTGTTATATTTTTTAGTTAATGATTTATTGTTTGTAGAATACATTTGTGCATTTGTTTGTTCTTTACATTAACATTAACTGTTTGTGGTTGTGAATGTGTCATAAACAATTTCGAATAGGCGAAAAACAATCAAATTAAAATGAATAAATCAATGTGTTTGGAAAAAAATAGGATTTTAAGCATCTGGTTATTATTAATAAAAATATAACCTCCAAACATACAATTTAAGAATCTTAAATTTCATTTTAATACAAATAACCATATATTGCTTTTTGTTTTCCCAATGAAACTACGCCACTGGCCATTTTCTACGATTATGAACCGAGTCCTTGTCAAAAGAGACAACCTTGAAACAAAGAATACCTACCCAAGAAGAGAAACTGAATGAGTTTTCGAATGTACCAAAGTATGGGAACTTAATACATTGGGAAACATATGAAATTAATAAATTTTTGTCGTTTGGTTCATAAGAATTAAACAAATACTAAAGTAACAATGACATAAAATGCTTATGTTAAATAGATTATTTTAATAACAAAATAAATACTGTAGGTACAATGATGACAGTCACTACACAATAGCGTAAGCAGATGACCTGGTCATTCTTAAAAATAAAAAATTTTGAGAACAATTATGGAACAGTGGTGCAATGACATTTCTCTGTAAATCTCAAGAAGACAGAAATGATCCTTTTCACGAGGAAAAGGATGAAAAAAATGTAATTGAAACCTCCAGAGCTCCTAAACACAAAACAAAACTTTGCAATAGAGCTGGAACTACCTAGGTAGCACCTTTGACAACAAGTTAACATGGAACTCATACTTGGAAAATAGAGTCAAAAGAGCATACATTGCTTATGAACAATGCCACCGTGGGGTAAACCTGGGGTTTCTCCCCCAGAGTCGTCATATGGACTTACATGACCATCATAAGACCTTTGCTAACATACGGCGGAGTTGTCTGGGTTCAAAAATTGACAGATATCTACAAACTAAAACAAATTCAAAAAACAGCATGTCTCAACATAAAAGGAGCTATGAAAAACCACACCAACCAAAGGCATGGAAGTAGTTCTTATTCTCACTCCTCTTGATATTTACATCAAGGAGGTTGCTCTGATGAGAATGACACGTCGCTGCACGGTTGGAATAGAACCTGATGTACGATCTGGTAAGGGGAAACGTCGTTTTTGGTAAAAGGCGCTTGATACGCTAACACTGCTTCAAGCAAACATAAAGTTCATCTGACTAAGATATATCTTCAATAAGCTATATAAAGTTAAAACAGAACAAATAGAAGAGCTGGAAGTGGCAGGTACGATTCATATCTGACGGTTCTAAAACAAAACAAGTTTCAGGATGTGAAATATACTCCAATTCCTACATAAAATGGGCTGTGAGAACTAGTAGTTCAAACCAAGCTCTCGCAGATTCTCATAGCAGCAAAATAAATCATCAGAAACACTATCACTGCTAGCAACATGCTCACACTACTTACCCTGAGCAGACTACGAATTTACTCAGTGTTACTACTAGAATTACACGAAACTTTGGCAAGAGTAGCCATCTTGCTGATTTACTAGCCAAGAAGGCAGCCAACCAAATACTTTCTGGACCTGGCTCTTCTATTAGACTGACAATATCGGTAGTGATAGTACTAATTACAAAACATTCCCTTATGAAATTCAAGGAAAGATGGAATGAAACAAGAAATTACAGAGTTACCAGGAATTTTTTAAGTTATCTTGACTACACTACATCAAACCAAATACCTACTTGAATATGACTAGACAGAATCTACGCCTTATCACAGGCATTCTGACTGGTAATTGCCAAGTACAGGGGGTGCGAAAAAGAAGATGAGACCATTGAGCATATCCTCTACGATTGTCCGACGCTCTTACTTATTAGAAGATTTGTTTTCGACGAGTATTGGCTAACACCGGCCGATATAAGAGAAGCACCTTTTGGTGACGTTGTCAACTACATTAAATCTGTAGGCAGGCTCATGAGCTAGGAGTTGCCTATTATCTTAGGAGGATACGCAATGGACCTAGTGAGGCCTAAGTGCGGGTAACCCACCCTCCACACGTTACACATTCAGAAGTACTGTAGGTAGCTGTAAATGCATTTCGACTGCATCCTGATAGTAGCGACTTGGTTCCTCGGAGTGAGTTTGTCATATATTTTAATTATTGGTCTGTATTGTTGTTTATTTACTGTTTTAATTCGAATGGTTCGAAAAACAAAAAAAAAACGTATTTCAAATTAAAGACTAAAAACTTTAACGATGCATAATACGTAAATTATCAATATAGGTAATACCAATTTAGAAATTTTAAAAATTAAACATTTACAGCCGGATGCAAGAACGTTTATTAAATATTTACTAACAACGCAATGTATTTTTTTTTCATGTAACTAAAATGTTAAAGCTATTTAATTTCTAATTACTACTCAGTTAAATACAACTACTTAACTATACTGCAATTTTCATAAAACGCTAATAATAATACACCAAACGTTGCTCTACATAAATTGACAGCTATATTTGTCGACCTTTAAAACACTGATAAAACTTTTTTGCAGTTTTTTGTCCACGAATCGCCAATAACAAATCGACCGCTCGAATATGACTTTAGTTTCGCTTCTTGGGTAGATAATGGGTCCTATGATTGAACGTTTATGTTATCCATAACGTACATGTTAAGTCGAATTTTAACAGTAATGAAGCAAGTTTGTATGATGGAAAACTGTTAAATTAGAACATAACAGGCGGAAAATAACAGTAATGTGTTGAAAACCGTTTTTCATCATACGAACTTGCCTAATTACTGTTAAAACTGAGCCTAACATGTACGTTACGGATAACGTAAACGTTCAATCATAGGACCCATTATTTGCCTGAAATTCCACGATATGTTTGTGACATCGCTTAACATTGAATACGTATAAGTCTGTCTCTCTCATGCTGCCACTGTATATCTGGAATAAATACCTGGTATAAATTCTGTAACTAAATAAAGTAAAAGTTTGTCGCAAAGTTCCTGAAATATATCAATTTTTATGTTCAGTGGGGCATATTACAAAGAGGTTAGTTCGTTTTTTAAATTATCTGGAGGTTGCAGCAATCTTTAAGCTTTTTTCGGTTACGTTCGACTTTAGGGACACACTGTTTGACCAATTTCACTTTGTTTTTTGATTTAAATGATATTAAGCATGATTTTAACTCACCTTAGGTTTGGAAATAGGAAAAAAAAAGTATAAATCAATTATATATTTTAATTAAATACTTTTTAAAAATAAGAAAACGAGTCTTTTATTAAATTTAACCTAAAACTTGAAAATTTTAATATTTGACATTTCTTTTCTGGATAATGAGCGGGGTTGCCAAGATTAATTTATTACTACTATTATTAAAACTAAGTAGTCTGGGTATTAACAGTATGACCAGGTAGCAGAGAATTTAGAGTGAATTTTTATGTTGAATGAGTCAAATAAAATGATTTTGTAACATTGTATTTTTAGAAATTACTCAAAAATGTTATGTGAAATGTCAGTAAGTTATAAAAATTTACAAAGGATTCCTGTTTAATTTTATAAACAATTGTATGAGCTGATATGAACAGATATTATTCTTTGATATGTGTTGGGGGTCGGGGAGCGATGTTTGATACAGATTCTGGTATTTTATCACAAAATTCTATTATTTTTATTTAAATAAACAAATCATAAAAGTATAATAATTTACGAGTTTACAAATTAATTATATCTTTCTACATATTAAAATACTTGGCAACCCTGTACACATAAGTCAAAATATTTGATGAAAAATGTGCAATTTTTGAGATTTTAATATTAAATTTCTCGCTTAATCGTGGATAATCTCCAAAAATTTTTTAATTGTCATGATATATAACTTCTTTACTTTCTAATAGTACAAACATTTTTTTGAAATTCGTGTGTCTTTTAAGTCGAATGTAACCCTTTTTTCTATCACAAAGTGGGTTGAATATTTTTTTTATTTTAAAGCCTTTTCAATTTCAAATTTAATTACTTATTATCTTGTTACTTTTTGTAAGCAATGTGCCGGAAAAAAATGCAACTAAATCAGGAATGAAATTAAACAATTAACACCGGAAATGTTATAAAATATTCAGAATTTTTTTTTATTATCGATTAAGGTCAGTAACAAGGTAGAGGGCACTTTTTGCATTAAAGTAGTTGCATTGTTTATAAAAGTAACACAAAGTAACTAATTGTTCTTCAATAAAAAAAGCTTTAAAGAAACGGTTGGGGGTTTGCCGATAACTGTAAATAGAATCCTATTTTTTTACTAGGTCTTTTATGGAAAATAAACCAAATTAAAATCAACACATAACATTTACTCATTACTCATTACACTCGCCGCTCTTTTGCATAAAAATCATAATAGTATAATAATACTACCTGGTAAGGAGTCAACTCGCACATAGGAAAAACATGAATTCACAGAAACACCGGAACATCGGCCCAAGTCTCACTTGAAACCACAAGGGAGCCAGTGAAGAAGATATATTTATCTTTAAATTTTGTAAATGTAGATGTAAATATGTAAATAGATAATACTTTAAATATTTTAAAAACAACAAAACTAAAAATAGAAATTGATATGTTTCAGGAATCCAACAAATCTTCATTTACTAAGTTACAGAATGTGTTTCACTCTATATAAACCAAAATAAAGATAATCAAAGAAGGGAATCCACCCTCTCGAATGTGATTATGAGATAAATGAAACAATAGATTTGGAATTTCATTTCTCATAAAATAAATACGGGGTGGCACATTAGAAACAGCCCAACTCAAATATTATTGGCGGGGGAGGTTTTCGTGACAAACCCTGAGACACGTCGATTCTGTTATCGAGGCGGACAACCTTTGATCGTTAACTCATGATTGTACGGTCATCCCCCTAAAAGCAGTGTCAACCCCTTTGAATATCAAAAATGGCATATGGGTCAAGTGGATCATCATTTAAAAGGTATTTCGAATCTCTTTACAGACATGCTATTATTTTTGTGTTAAGTGTTAAAATTTATGCCAAAAACCAGCTGGAATTGTGGGTGAAAGAAATTGAAAAAAAAGTTTCCAGAAAAGTTTTAATTAAAGTATGTATTTAAATTGCGATCCATTTACTTTCAACCAGTAATAAAACCTTTGTTCAACAGTGTTCTGAACATTTTGTAGCATTGCAGGAGTTATTTCACGACATGCTACAGTTATCCGGTGGCGAAGATCTTCTGAAGTTTTTTCTGATGTTTTTTCAACTAAATTAAAGATAAAGGTCTTCCTTAGGTAGCCTTACTATTTTAAATTGATGAATAATTCATTTTCAATTAAAAGGATAATTTTACTGTTAAATGTATCCATGGAAATGAAAAAATGGTGTTATTTTAAAATTATGATTTTTATTGAATCTCATCCATTTTACAATTTAAAATAGTAAGACTACATAAGTTAGACCTTTATCTCTAGTTGGGATGAAAATTAAATTTTTTAATGCTCTACTTTCGGAAATCGGTCGATTTAACTTTTGGTCTACAGCAGTGAGATCCCGTCCTTAACGGACATTTTAAACTGGTTTTTGGCATTAATTTTAACACAACAAAAAAATGTTAGCATGTCTGTAAAGATAATCGAAATACCTTTCAAATGATATACCACTCAACACCCAATGCTATTCAAGATTCTCAAAGGGGTTGCCACCTCTTTTAGGGAAATGACCGTACAACCATGGGTTAACGATCATAAGTTGTCCCCCTCGATAACAAAATCAACGTTTTTCGGGGTTTGTCGCAAAAACCTCACTCGCCAGTAATATTTGAGGTGGACTGTTTTTAATGCGCCACGCTGTATATTAGACCCTCATAAAACTAGAAATAAATATATACGATATAGATGATCGTATTATGAAACAATAATATAATTAAATAAACAGGAAAACCATGACCTAAAACATTCAATGTATTAACTTGCTTTGAAAACATTTCTCATTAAATAGATAAACAACTTATTATTTTTATAGTAAATAAATATAGTATTTATTCAAATCATATTGAAATTAGGAAGATATGTAATAAAATAGGCACCTACTACGTGTTTATCCATTTTTAGAAAATCCATTTACCTAAAGGTGGGAAATGAATTAATGTTAATTTTTAAACTTGTATTAATTATACACCTATGACGTTAAAGCCTCTTGTAGTACTTTTGTCATTAAATTATTTTAGCCGTAGAAGTAAGGAAATTCCCATCACATTTATTAGTCCAGGGCATTTAGATCAAAATAAACCGGAATAGTGGAAATTTTTAGGGATAGCAGATATCGAAATACGGTTTACTGCATTGTGTTCAGGAAGGTCCCAGAAAAAAAGTTGTGACGTGCTCCTGGTTTACCTACAGTGAATCAGCGAGTCTGTGTGGCGTTATGAATGTAATTCCCGAATAGAGGTTGCTCAGGCGCCAGTTTTGGTATCGCAGTTTGCTCTGTGGTACACCAGAGTGTACTCAAGGTGAACTCAGTGGAGGTAAAAATAATTCCAGGCGGTCACTGCTAGGTAGCCACTATACTAAAATAAATAAAAATAAAACACTTATCTCCCTTACACCCCGTACCCTACGGTACCCTGAAAGAGAACGGTTAAGAACCAGTAATAAGAGAAACACAGGAATAGGTACTAAAATATATATTTACAAAAAAATAAATGCAACTGTAATTATATTTGAACGGCTCCCTGCATTCGGAAAATCTATTCTTTAAAAATAAATTATTAAAATTGAAAAGTATTTAAATATTGACGGATCCCTATATTCGGAAAATTTAATAAATAAATTATTAAAGTTGGAAATTATTTAAATATTGACGGATCCCTATATTCGGGAAATTTAATAAAAATAAATTATTAAAGTTGAAAATTATTTAAATATTGACGGATCCCTATATTCGGGAAATTTAATAAAAATAAGTTATTAAAGTTGAAAATTATTTAATCATATAGAAATATTTATGGTTTATTAGCTCAGGAGGCTAATCGGACTGGGAATCGTGAAATGCCCAGTATACGGAAAATGTATGAAAATAAATTATTAACATTGAAAACAATTTAAATATGACGGTAATCAAATGCAAACAAATAAAAAATGAACTCAAAATTGTCGGAGACCCCTTGTATCTTAATACCCAAGCGATGGAAATGAAAAATTCTCGCCTATTGATAAATAAGGTTTATTTACACGGTGTTTTGGACGGCGACCACGACGGTCGTAGAAAATAATATTTTTGAATTTTTCCCAGAGTCTAACGAGAGCGTATGTGTGAATTTAATTTTACAGAAGTCGTCTGATTTTATTCAATAATTAATTGTGGACGGGGAATGATTCAAATACGACTGAATAAAAAATTAAAAGAAAAGAAATTTTACACGAAGTGAGGCGCGGGAATTAATTTAAACGTCTTTTTGGGAAATTAGACAACGTCATCAGGAGAGAGAGCTCTCTAACCCACTAAGCGGATCTAACCTCCGAAAAAGGAAAAAAAAATAGATCAATAAAATAATAAAAAATCGCAAACAGGTCGGATCTCTCACTTCGATGTTAACTGGGCGGTTTTTAAAAGAAATTGGATGTAGTCGTTGATAGAGAGAGCACTCAGAGTCTAGTCTAGGTCCAACCTCAAATGAAAAAATTGCCAACGGTTTCACACTGAGGAATGAAATAATAAATCCTGGATGTGAATCAAAATTCTTTGCTTGTCACACGGGTGTCCCAATCAATTATATAAAAGCCAATATAAAAAAAATAATAATATACGGTTCCTACCTTAGCAGATAAACGGGGTTAATCGATAAACTAAATCACGGTACTCACGGCACTCAAGGGTGAATAGTTTTCGGCTGTCGGCAATCCCGAGAGAAACGCTTACGGCGGCTGGCAAGCGAGAAGAGAGAGTAATTCCCAGATGGGATTTAATTTATGCTTTTTCGGTAAAGCAAGATGGAAGACACGGTACAACAAAGTGAAGATACCACTACTACAGCCGACTGTTTACAATTTAAAAATAAAAAAATGCCCTTATAGTCCTTGACAAATAAAAAGTAGATAATCCATACGAAATCGACTCTAAAAATGCCCATTCGGATTTCGGCAAATATAAGAATATTTTAATCTACGAGGGTACTCGCAATTATTGAAAAACGGTAATTCCTGGGAAACAGAAATACTTCTACATGTTCTCAGGAGGGAATTAATTGAAATATATATTTTTAAGATGAATTAAAAATAAAATTTAGTGACTTCGTCACAAAGTCTTTATCGTCTGGTTTAGCCATTTTTTCAAAAATACTTTCTGGGCCGGAAAATGCATTTTTCAACTGCATCCTTACTTGCACCTTTATAGGAACGACTGGAAACTCGGAAAATCGATCGAACTCGATTCTGGCATTAGAATTACCCGGGAGCGCTCGGGGGCGGCTCTGCGGGGGCATCCATGGGGTCATTCTGGGGGGGGGGAGAAATTACATACTCCATGGGAAGTGCTCCAAACTCGTTAGTCGGGGGTTTTCGGGGATGCCGAATTCAATTCTGGCATTAGAATTGCCCGGGGGTATGAATAATAATTTTTTTTTGATGTTTGAGTTCTGTCCGATACTCTTACACCATGCTAAAACAATCTTCGTCTAGCTTTGGCTCTTTATGGGGCACCCAAAGATGTTCGCACGAGCGACAAACCTACGATTGAGCTCGTCCAAAGCTATCGAGCAAAAATGTATGCTGAAGCCACCAATTCTAAAAAAGTCGATCTTCCACGCATAATCCCAAGTGCCAATGTATTAACCGAGCATATCAAGCGTGTCTATTTCCAAGTACAGGCTTGGTATGGTTCAAAAGGTCAAGACGAGACCTTAGATCCATTGGAATGGGGGTGGGAATTGGTGGATGGAGAGCTCAGTCCTGTCACCATGACCCAGGAAGCCGGTCCCGAGGAAATTTTAACCAAAATTTCTTGTTCTTGTGAAACGGACTGTGGCACGAGGTGCGGGTGCCGCTGAAGTGGATTGGAGTGCTCACTTGCATACAAGCATTGCGATGGCAATTGCTCAAATCAAAAAGGCACTTTCAATGAGGCCGAGAATAGTGACAAGGAAGAAGATAAAGAAGGGGAAGAAGATGGAGAAGGGGAAGAAGATGGAGAAGGGGAAGAAGAAGAAGAGTTTGAACAAGATGTTTAGTATTAAGGTTAACAATTTAAGTTTATAATGAATAATTCAATATTAATAAAAACTCCTATTTGTTATTTGAATAAAGTATTATTTTTATAATTTGTGATGTTTTAATTTCTCCTTTACCATTTCCCACAGAGCCACCCCCGAGCGCCCCCGGGGAAGTCTAATGCCAGAATTAAATTCGGCATCCCTGAAAACCCCCCGATTTTGGAGTGATTTTCATGGACTATGTAATTTTCCTCCCAGAATAACCCCCCGGATAACCCCGCAGAACCGCCTCCGTGCGCTCCCGGGTAATTTCAATGTCAGAATTGAATTCGACATCCCCGAAAACCCCAGGGTAACGAGTTTGGAGCGATTTTCATTCATTTTTCCATTTCTGCCCCAATTTACCCCCACGCACCCCCACAGAGCCACCCCCGTGCGCCCCTGGGTAATTCTAATGCAAGAATCGAGTTCGCAGCCCCGAGAACCTCCTAGTGACGATTTCCGAGCGATTTTACCGAGTTTCCAGTCGTTCCTACAAAGGTGCAAGTAATGATGTAATTGGAAAATGCATTTTTCGGCCCAGAAGGCATTTTTCAAAAAATAGCTAAACCAAACGATATAGACTTTTTCCTGGGACGCTCCTGAACACAATGCAGAAAACCGCATCTCGGTATCTGCTGTCCCTAAAAATTTCCGCTATTTTTCCTAACTTTCCTGGATACCTATTCACTAAGTTATGGGAGCGCTCCCATGGGAGTGCTCCCATATATTTTGCTCTCTTACTCTTAGGTGGGTATATCGTGCTTACTCACTTTTAGCCCAGGTACATGCGTAGTTAGGTCGGAGTAAGCACGATATACCCGCCTAAGAGTAAAAGAGCAAAATATATGGGAACACTCCGATGGGAGCGCTTCCATGAATTAGTGAATAGCTACCCGGGACGATGTTTAATCATTACGTTGGAAACGCCTTAATTTTCTTTACCCCACCTATTGGTTAATCGTTGAACAGCGCGGGGTTATCGGGTGATTAATAATATCATATTTATGTGTATTTAGATATGTAATTTACATGATAAAATAACTCAATTTTTGTAAAATATGCGTACTAGTATTTTCTGATACAAAGCTGTGACCAGTATTTTTAATTTAAATCTGAGACCTTGACCATTTGTAAATTTCAGTAAACATTGCTGAATATTTTCTCTGACAAAAAGTTTAAGCTTTTATATTATTTTCAATATTAAACTGCATACTATAAGCTATCAAGGTAAATTTAAACTAATAAAAACATTTATTCAAATTAATAATAATAAAATATAATTTTTAAATAATTAAGCAATAAAAATTCGAAATTCGTAGTTTTGCATCATTTTGTAGACCAGTTTTTCTTGTTTATATTAGAAGCACATGCAGCGTTGTCAATATTTGGCAAACAAAATTGTTATCTAGTAATATTTCGATCTTTATTTTTCGATAAACTAACGACTGGTAAAATTCTGGACAACCCTGTACAATCAAATAACTTTATTGCAAAAGAAAACAATTTTCTCAAACAATGTATTCATTGTTATTGATTTATTCCTACAGTTACAAAGTAAAAAGATTGTATTATTAATTATTACGGTAGGAGATTATGCAAACCACAAATATGTTGAAAAATATTTAAAATTGAATTATTAATGTTTAAATTAATTAATAAGACTGATTATAATGCCAAACACGTTTGGAATCATTAAGCATATTTATTATTTTTTAAAGAAATTAAAAGTTTTTTTTGGTACAGTTTCTGTTCTCAAAAACATTACATAAACAGAAGTAGTAACAAAAAGGATTTACTTACGATGCGAAGGCACAGCAAAATCCAACATGTTCCCAAAAATGGGATTAGGTTTAGGTCCTGGTACATTTTTCAGATATTTCGATTGCCGTTTAACGAAATTTTTATGAAAGACTATAATTAAAATTATAACCAAAAGTGGCACCGCACAAAAAACGATTGTTAATAAACCAGTCATATTGCCTAATGAGAAGCGATGTATTTCGAGGTTCTTTTGTAAGTAATCATGCATATGTATAAGTACCACCTCTACGTTTTTTTAATAATTGGGAATCTTTAATATTCAGCGGCGTACAAAAAATAAAGGAAATTTTAGTCGAAAATATTCATACTAAATAATTCTATAAATGAGGCTTTTATGAAAAAATACAACAATAAGTCAAAAATCTTATAAAGGGGACCTATTTTTGTTCATGTTATAAATGCCCACTTCTGGTCTCTTCTCTAATAATCTAAAGAATGTTTTGTTTACCTCCCGCCTCTTTGTGAAATTCAAAATAATTTATAATTTCTGTAATATGCCTTTTTCGTCTAATTTAATAGGATTATTTTATTACCCTCGTTGTGATAATTTATTAAGTAATCCAAGATTCGATGCATAGTTTGGTAATTTCTGAATGAAATAATGCTCAAAAATGTCTTTAATTTAATTTTTTTTATCCTCAAATAAATTGTGTATGTAATTTTAAATTGGGGAATGGTAAATTATATTTCACAACGAGACCTCACATGTGTCCCACCCAATAAACAGGCCACAGGCCATTTGCCATAAAATAAATAGTGTTGAAGAATTCTTGAGGATATACAGCAAAGGCTTAGACTATAACAGTCAAAATTTGTTTTACTCAGAGATAACAGAGATATAAGCAGCCATTCATAAAATATAATATTCACGATGCTATACAGGTGCAGAAACCGATACAGCAAATATTTTTTTTCTTGCAATTGCAAATTTTGCTTCCACAGTCTAGAACAAAATATTATTGTTGGAATATTGTACATCTATGAGAATTATCGGTGTATAGTATCTTTTTCGCATTTGATTGATGTAAGTTCTATTATGTCTGGTGGCAGGTCGGGCAGAGTCTTAAAAGTGGATATAAGACATCCATCTTAATCTACTTTCCATCCATACTCTTCAACATTAGGAAGCTGCATCTGGCTTTAAAGAGCTTAGCTAAATATTTAGCTAGTAAAAACATCTTAAATAATGTAGTCTTAGGGCGTCTTCAGTCGGTGGCAATTTAGCGATGGTTTTTGAAGAGGCCATTAATCCCCTCAAAATGTTAATGGAAGTAACATTGGCAGTTTTTGAATAAATTTTTATGAAAATTTTTTCAAGATTAGAGAATATGTTTTCAGAGTACTGATCATAGTGCCAAATCCATCCAAAAAGTAATACTGTTCAAGGTAGGTTCTCCAACAGGTTCTTTTCCCAATGCCGGACAACTGGCTGGTTGTATCACAACCGGTCAGAGAATGAAAAATTTAAATAATGTACTGCTAGAAATCGTCTTGAGTCTCCTCGCCCTGTTCTGAACCATATATCTTTAATCAAAAACTTCTTAAAATAAATTAGTAAGACTAGAACATCTGAATCGTTGCAATAAATAATGCAGCGTGAATGCCCCGAATTTTTGGCTGACAATATGTGATTTGAATTTAAGAAATCGTCTTTTGATGGTTCACAATTCTACCCATATTTATTGATATTCGCGAATCCACCACTAGTTACAAATTGAATATGCTTTTGCTGAATGGGATATTGGGTCGGTCAATTTTCTGGGATCCTCTCTTTTGACGTGTTTTATTTTTGACAGATAATGTCCTTTATAATGATCAAATACCACATCTATCATTTGAGCATTAAATTTATTTCTAAAAATAATGTTTACATATATTAGCATATTCTTCAAATGATATGCAACTTTTGGGATTCTCTATTTTGATATCATTTTTGTCTTTGCTACTTGCAACACCAAATCCGTAATTAAAATTTTAAACGAAAACTTATAACTTACCCAAATATATTCAGCTGCAACAAGATGAATGAAGACATAATAAAGACGCAAAAATGTCTATATTTCTTCCCAATTTATTAGGTAGTTTAATATACAGGGTGTCCCGAAATTAGACGGTCATATTTTAACAACGTAATCTACATCCTAAAATAGGAGTAAATGTTCATATAAACAAAGGTCCGAAAACGTTTCGTTTTCGAGATACAGGGTGTTACACGTGAAGTCCTGATGGCACATTTTTGTAAATATTTTCTAAAATTTCTTAAGTCACCGGTTTTCCAAAGTAAAAAAAAAATAAAATTTCTGATTCCACAAGCTTACTAATACTAATACTTTCGAATAAAATAACATCAACTTATCATGAAATTTTCAAATGCTTTTCTCTTGAAAATTGTGCGTCCTAGCGAAATGCAACAAAAGTAGCTTTATTATAAAGAAACCATTGGTTTTTCCAAATTTTATAGTCAAAAATGTTAAAAACTATCAACAAAAAAACTTAGGGCAGTTTTACACTAAGCCCCCCTAATTTACCCACCTATGAAGATGATCAAAAACTAGGATTTAGTCCATTAAATAGAGCGTAAAAAGGTAAGCATTTGTACAAAATTTCACTTAATTATCTTTAAACGTTTAGAAAATATTTACAAAGTGTATCATCAGGACTTCACTTTTAACACCCTGTATCTCGGAAAAAAAGCGTTTTCGGTCCTATGTTTATATGAACTTTAACTCCTATTTTAGAATGTAGATTACGCTGTTAAAATATGACCGTCTAATTTCGGGACACCCTGTGTAACACATAAACTTATTAATTCTTTGGTAAAAAACAGATAACAATATGACACATTGCCCATTGGAACATAACGAGAAGTTTTATAATAAAAAATAAAAAAATCCTACTATATCAAAAATGTACACAGTACAAGATGCATTTTTCTTAAGACACTTATTACAAATTGTTTGGTTATCCTTAATATGACGACCTCATATTTAATACGTGGTATAAATTGCATCACTACCAATATCTGGGAGTGCTTTATTGTTCGTTGCTGAAATCCATGTTCCCATCTCATGAAAACATGCTTAAAATTGGAAGGTGTTGAAAAATAAATCTAGATGAATCAAAATCCAATACACCTACAAATGCAACAGCCAAGTTTGAAGTTTTGTTGACAAGCTGACAACTAACATGACATTTCGATACGAGCGCCATCCCGTTAATTGGAGTGGTACTAAATTACCGTCCTCATGTTTTTCCATTTGAGTTACCAGCCCCTGGGTAGATGCGTGGTAGAGGTAACATAGGGAGCATTTACCGTTATACGAATTTTGCCAAAACCGAAAAACTGAGTGGAAGAAGTAGAGAGATGTTCTGGGCCGGACTTAAATATTTGTATTGTACAGTTCATCAAATTTCTAGAGGCTTTCGACGGCTAGACAGAGAAAGCACTACTGACAGGCATCCCGACGGATTTACGCAATGAAAGTACACTCTGCGCATCAAGTATTTCACTATTTCATTCAGACGTAAATGTCAGATGTAAATTTCGCTAAAACATTTCTTTTATTTTCGTTTGTGTTTTTTGCTCATTACAGTTTAATAGAACCTAAGTATGGAGTTTAATAGCAAATTAAGAGGCCGCGTGATTAACAGTCAATCTCGCGAAATAATAGCCAATGTTATAGAGTTTATGAGAAGAGAAGGAAACTTTAATTCACCTTCAATACCATTTAAAAATGTAAATGATCGTGTTGCTGCAGCCACAGGAGTATCTAAAAACACTGTCGTCCGCATTTCTGGAGAGAAAAAAAGAATCGATAACCGTGAGATATCGGAATTTTCATCACCAAAAAAAACCATTAAAAAACCAAAAACAGTTAATGATATAGATGAAGCTGCACAAGAATCAAATTTTATTTTTTTATTATTAGATAGCTATTTTTGTTTCTTAGTTGTGTTCATTTACAGGCTCAATTTTTTTCCGTTTCTCCTTTTTGATTTTATATGGGGTTTCAAGTTGTTTTTGACTTATTTCGACGTAAATCACAACAACACACTTTTTTAATAAAGCAAACAAGTGTTAAGAGGTATATGTACGTGTAAACTACAATTACAAAAAATTGATATGAAACCCATGAAACCACCAACAAAAATGTAAAGCTAGCTTCCGTACTAGAACATGGTGTCATTCGTCGAGATAATGTATCGTTTTGTTTAATAGATCAAGAAATGTAAATATTCCCCTGTTATTTTTTATAAAATTATAAGAGAAATAAATTTTTTTCTAAATAGTATAGTTTATTATTTTGTAGAAAAACAAAATTTCGAAAATTTTAGTAATGTTTCAGAAACAACCGTTATTAATAATAGGTACCATTTTCCTTAATAAGGTAGAAATAAAATATAAACTATTTCCACGATTTACAAAGGCCTACAAAAAAATTATAGGTATTTTCCGCTATCCTATAAAATTTATATTTTCTGACTCAATTTCAAAAGGTTGAAGGAATTCCAAAACACCTTTTATGGCATAATAATTATTTTCAATTCTACATACTATCTTTAGCTGCTTTTAAAAACGTTCTAAGAAAGTCCAATCAGACCAATTTAATCCCTAAACTATTCCACACTTTTAAAATTTAATTACCTAAAAATATTAAAAACTATTTAAAATAACTTGTTTAGCAGACTGTACAATAGCTATCTTAGTCACACGTAGCGCGTTCTCTGTCTGGGCGTCGAACACCTCTAGAAATTTGATGAACTGTAGTACCTAATTTTGGTAGGTAACTAAAAGATGAAAAATTATGAGACGTCTATTTGACTTCATTTATGATGAGGGCAATAAAACTTAATCAATATATAGCTAGTAGCTAAGGGCCGATTCCACCTTTGTGTTAAACGAAGTTTAAATTACTAAACGAAGATTAAAATGACATTGTTAATGATAAAATTATTGGAAAAAGGGAACACCCATTTTAAATTACCACAAGCTGCCAGTAATAGGCATTAACACCTGAAATTTCCTGATGTGACAGATTTATTACTCCGTGTCGATTACAATTCTACTATAAAAATATAATAAACTGTTTTCGTATAAGTTATTGCATGTGAGGTATCAAATATTAATTAAATCCAGTTGTGCGAAAATGAGTCCTACCTATTATAAATATTATTTAACATGTT